GGGGAAGTCATTTTTTCCAGTAAGATGTGACACATTGAGAGCTCAAAATGAATCATCCTCTGGAGAAGATATCAAAAAAGAATTGGAAGAGCTCAAATTACGGTATAAAAAGCTGAAGGTAAGTTGCGTCAAATTTTCATATATTTTTCCTGATACAATGTCAGTATTTGTTTTATCTTAATTGTGTTCATCATTTGTAGGAGGAGCACAGTTCATTTCGTGATCTTGCTGATAGAATGATCGAGGAAAAGGACAGTGAAATTTCTAGACTTGTAGATGATAATAAAAATCTTCATCAATCGTTGGAGTCAAGATCACGAGTAGGTTCCTTTTTCTTGACTGACATTCAAAGTTTATCTTTACACTTCACTGTTCTGATGATGTTATTTCGATATGACCTCAGGCTGATCGCAATGATAACTATAACACAGGTAGGTGGGTCTGGAGTATAATTTCTTTTAATTTGTTCCAATTAGATGAAGAGTTGTGTATTACTTGAATTATGGCGTTCTAACCTTATGAGGGTTCCTAGTGGAGTTTAAAGCATCAATCACTTTTTGACGTTTGTGTTATCAGGCATGCATAAACAGGACGCCGCAAGTATAAGCACCGCTGCTGCAGAACAACAGATTCTGGTAATTATATACTCTGATTATTTTTCCCACGAAAATTTTTGGGACATTCTGAAGGGAGAACTTGGATATTTCATTGAACCTTATTAGCATCAAATTAGACTGTCCATGTGATTCATTTTTTGTTGTAATGAACTTGATGGTATATGAGTTATTACTATTGAAGACAAGTAAGCTGTTAATCTCCTTTTCATGCTGTGCATTCAAATGATCATGTGTGGTGTACTATGAATTTCAGATTTTGGCAAGGCAGCAAGCCCAACGAGAGGAAGAGCTAGCACAGTCACAACGGCACATTTTAGCGCTTCAAGTGTGTAATCGCCCATCTTGATTGCTACTTCTCTGTAGTGTAGTTCTGATATATGTTTATTTTTTCAACTCAGGAGGAAATTGAGGAGCTGGAGCGTGAGAATCGTCTGCACAGCCAACAGGTACTGAGAAGCCTGGTTTTTGCAGATTTTTGCCCCTATTCATTTGGTTTGATTGATTTCAGTTGTTTGGGAACTGTTTTTGTAATTTTAGTAAATTTATAGAATGCGGGCAGTCAGTAGATTTATCATGAATTGAGCATATCCAAAAGGAAAATGCTGGTGTCACCGAAAATATTTGTTTGCTTTTCTTAATATATATTGATCTGATGAATGTCATGACATATGTAGGAATCCATGTTGAAGGATGAGTTGCGGAACATGGAAAGATCGCAGAAGAGGGAAGGAGTAGATATGACCTACCTGAAAAATGTGATCTTAAAGCTTCTTGAAACAGGTATTTTTATGAAAGGCTCACGTAGCAACCGAAGTACATGTTTTTTGTGATGTAATTTGGTTTTTGCTACATTCAAAAATCATCTAGTGAGACGCGAACATACAAGTGGTGTTGGAAAGTCTGAATGTTGTTATTATTCGAACAGGTGAAGTGGAGGCTCTATTACCTGTAGTTGCTATGCTGCTTCAATTTAGTCCGGACGAGGTAAAATCTTATCTCCTACTTGATGCCGTATAGTTAGTTGTTTATGCCATTATTAGGGCTCCTTTATCATTTTACTATATTATCAGTTGCATTCTAATTTAATGCATTTTATGTACGAATGTAGTTGCAGAAGTGTCAACAAGCCTACCGCCAATCGGCAGATGTTCCTCCTGGCCCGGCTAGTGATACTTCAGGATCAGGTGTCTCTCTTTTCTCAAGATTCTCATTTTCATAGCCGTAGAGATGAAGACTGTAGAGACTTCTTTGCACGGATGCTGTGACAGCTAACTGCTTACCTCCAGATTCAGAGGTGGTGGAGGTGCGGCCATAGTACATCTTGTATTCTTTTGTAACATTGAACATTAAATGTAAAGTACGACACAACCATATACAGCATGAAGAGAGCGAGATAGCGAGAGAGAGGGTGAACGGTTTTTGGCCATGCTTGGTTATTCTATCCGGAAGGAAGCCCCTCTTCTCCATTGATTTGTTGTAGAGTGTTACAGAAGCAAAATCATGATTTTGGAGATTATATTGGAAAGTTGCGGTTTTACGCACCATCTGATGGTACGAGTGATGTACACTAGTGGGATAGTAGCATCAGCATTCAGCTGGTTTCTTTTTACTCTGTTCGCGCTCTTGTACATTGCTATTGCATGTCGTTGATTTTTTTGGCAGCCGAGTGAGTGGTTCTTTGTTTTTGTTTCCATGGTTGTGGATCAATTTGTGAGTTGTGACCGTCCATTTCGCCATCTTCTGGTTCGGCAGGTGGGTGAGGATGGCCCATTGTCCACAATAAATATGCCGTCTCTATCCCGTGATTCGGTCATTCGTGTATGAATGCACGCTATTACATAATTGGTAATCGGTCATTGGTCTCACGGTTACAAACAAGGGAGGTGTTTATGAGGTGAAAAAGAGAATGTGAAAATAATTTCTCTTAAGCTATTAGTCCCTTGCAATAGTTAATATTTTTAGTAGACGAGAACGGTATCTGATCAGATCGCTAAGGCCGACTTTCGTCTATGCTCAATGATTTTGGGTCTCGTAGTATTTTTTTTCATCCACCAGAAGAGTACCGACAGGACATTAAATCAGCCATGTGCAATGCTTTTCTGTGTATATCTTGCCCAAAGATTTTTGCAATTTTCCCAGTTGGATTTTTTCTTCAAATAGCAATATAAAAAATGAACAGTGTCGCTGAGATTAAAAGCTACGTGAGAAGAAGAAAAAAACAAAGACTGGTTACAAAGGGAAAGACTACCAAACACTCTCGTCTAAAATGTGTTTCCTCCTCTTCTAAATTCAAACCAATTTCCTCGTAACGAATATTAGATTAATTTAGAACATCGCTCGAACTGTAAAAACAATTAACAAACTTTACTCACTGAAGGATTGTATTATTCATTACTCTGAGCTTATGACAACAAAATTTAAACATCGGAAACTGACTTCAACTTCATAAACATCAAACAACAAACACTTCGGGACAAAAAAAACAAAAACACAGCAAACAAAAACAAAACAAAGATCCTAACAAATCTAGTAGAAATTAATGTTTCAAAACAGGGTAAAATCAATGTTTCATGCATGCTTTGCCTGGAACTCCTTCATGAAAGCAACCAACTTCTCCACCCCAGCCAAAGGCATTGCATTGTAAATCGAAGCTCTCATCCCTCCCACCGACCTATGCCCCTTCAGCTGCACCATCTTCTCCTTCGCCGCCTCCTTCACGAACTCCGCCTCCAACTCCGCCTTCTCCAGCGTAAACGGCACGTTCATCAGCGACCGCACCGACTTCTCCACCGGGCACCGGTAAAACCCCTTGCTCTCATCAATGGCATTGTACAGAATGTCAGCCTTCCTCTTGTTCTTCTTCTCAATCTCCACCAACCCGCCCTGCTCCAGCAAATCCTCGAACACCAATCCGCACATGTAAATGCCGTAGCACGGCGGCGTGTTGTACAACGACTTGTTCTCGTCGTGGATCTTGTAGTCCAGCATCACCGGCGTGACCGGCTGAGCATTTCCGATCAGATCCTTCCTGATGATCACAATGGTTACCCCAGATGGCCCCACATTCTTCTGCGCCCCCGCGTAGATGATTCCAAATTTGGAAACGTCCACCGGCTTGGAGCAGAAATTGGAGGACATATCGGCGATCAGAAGGCCGTTTTTGGGATTCGGGTAGGTTTTGAACTCGACGCCATGGATTGTTTCATTTGCGCATATATGCAAATACTTGGCGTCCGCGCTCTGCTCCAATTCTTCGAAAGCTGGAATCTTTGTGTACTTTTCGGATTTCCCAGACCAGATCACTTTTGGGTTCGAATACTTCTGCGCCTCCTTGACAGCCTTATCGCCCCACGACCCGGTTACCAAGTAATCGACTTTGTCGTCGGGTTTGCAGAGATTGAGAGGGATGGCGGCGAACTGGGTGGTGGCGCCGCCCTGGAGGAAGAGGACGGAGTATTCGTCCGGGATGTTCAGGAGGGTTCGGAGGTCGGACTCGGCCTTCTGGATTATGGAGAGGAACTCTTTGCCTCTGTGACTCATTTCCATGACGCTCATCCCAGATCCGCGCCAGTTGTAGAGCTCCGATTGGGCCTTCCGGAGGACGTGTTCGGGAAGAACGGCGGGTCCCGCAGCAAAGTTGAAGACCCGATCTTGGGATTCGGACTGGGCAGGCGATCGATCTTGGATGTGGGTGGTGGTGGCTGAGCATTTGACGGAGATGGGTTTGGCGGGGTTTAGGGTGGTGGAGGTGGTGGTGAGGCGGGTGGCGGTCATGGGGATGGTGGCGAATTGCGTTTTGGGGTTTTTGAGAAAATTGGTATTTGGGTTTTGGAGGAGGAGGGAGTGAGGTGTGGTTGCCATTGCCATGGTGGCGGTGTTGCCGCTTCAGAGAAAGCTAGAGAGAGAGAGAGAGAGAGAGAGAGAGGGAGAGGGTTTGGTGGCAAAGATCTGAAACTTGTTGGGGGTATTTATCTAATTTAAAAATTAGGAAAATTTGTAAAATTGAATATTCGAAACAGGGAAGAAGTTTATACTGCCCAAATCAGTGGGGTTGGTGAAGAAAATGTTGAAAAACTTGGAAACGAGCAGCAGGACGTCGTTTAAGTCACACGACGTCGTTTGCAAGTACTAGACTTGCACTCCAAGTCTGAATAATATAAGTTGCGGCGGCTCACAGGTTAAGGTAGGTTTAGGTTATGTAGAAGTGTTTGTGATAATTAAAAGCAAAATTGGTATTTTGCTCTATATTATATAGAAACGGAACTGTAACTACTAACTAGCGCTTCAAACCAGTCATTATACAAAACTGTCATTATATGCTTTTTTTTATTTTTATTTTTTACTAGTACAAAGTTCATGATGACTTTCGAGAAGTGGCAGCAATTGTTTTCTACCGAAAAAATTGGCATTTATCATTGCTTAAAAAGCACAAACATAAACCATGCTCCAAGAAAACCATGGCTGCTTTCTCAGGCAAACAATTTGAGGCTGCAAACCCTAGAAATCTGAAGTAACCCAATTTTCCCAGGTGCAACCACTGTTGCTGAATAATTATGTGCAAATATCTTCTTCTTCTTCTTCTTCTTCTTCTTCTCAAATTACCCAATTAACCCTCAATTAACAAAGTCATCATATGTAATGTTTGTTAGTGTGTGTATATGGGCCTGCTATAGTTGTTTAGTCTGCAGCAGAAACTTTGCTGGTTCTGAAGTTGCAATGTGGCCAAACTTGGAAGTACTGTACTTCCTGTGCACCCCTGTCAGTCTCCCCGTCGACGCCTTCTGGTGGAATCCCACCATCAAACTTGAGCACTCTCTGTTACCAAGTAATTCAAGAGTTATTAGTAAAGTTTCAAGTAATGATGATTTAGTTATTGTTTTATAGATGGGAAAAACCAAAAAGAACTCACAAGAGCTGTTCTTCTGAGTAGTTTGCGTGCCACTCGCAGGTTCTGCTCCACTGCTTGAACCCGAAAAGAGTGCACTGAGCAGTGTAGACTGCAGCAGCAGCTAACAAAGATGGTGGAAACTTCAGCATTTGGTACTCCACAAGAGAGAGCTCGATCAAGAAGAACGATAGCAGTTCAATCTGTTTTGAGGACATTAAAGAAAAAGGAATCAGAATCTCGTTGGTGCGAGAAAACTAAATTGATCTTCGATGAACCACTACTGACCTTCTTGTCGGATTGAGCAGCCTTGAGGAATCTACTCATGAAAACATACGGCGTTGCTACTGACATGTTAAACTGCAATGTGTTGAGCATCAAGTTCTCCTGCACAAAGGGAAGAAAGATTAGAACTAGCGCTTCAAGAAGTAACTTTATTTCCATAGTATGCGAAACCGTTGAGGATATTCGACCAAAGAAAGAACAACGAATTACCATTTCCAGGACTTCCTGCCTTGTGTAAGCCTTATCCGATATGAGAATCAAATCCCCGACGATAGGAGCAGAAACTTCCTCATACTTGCATGCTAAAAGCATGGCAACCAGACCAACCAACTGAAGTTTCTTTCTTACAACCGTACGCTGGGATAAAAATCTATCGATGAGATTCACAGTAAGAAACAATGTCTCCTTCAACAGCTCAAAATTGTCCTGCACCTGTTCATTCGGATAACCAGATTAGTCATTCGTTAATAAGGTTGATTAATGCAAGAGAAACCATTTGCCATTTTCGTAAATTGATCGATTAGGAAAGAAAAGTAAACCTCAATAAGCCAGTCAATTAGTATAGCCCTCATCTTCTCATTGATGTCACAATGTTGCTCCATATAGTCAGGTGGGACACAGCTAAAACCCTGCAAATATGAGTGTTGGTTAAGTTAGTTACCACAGTTGGGATGAAATGGATGTTTTTCTTACTTTTGTTTTTCGTCGAAAAAGGAAACTTCATTAATGGTTTTTTGCTGAAATAGGAAGCAAATCAAATTCCTCCGTGACAAAAATGTACGAACATTTTACAGAAAATGTTTTGATGTCGATTAAAATGCAATGCCAGATTATTCTGACATGAAAAATTCAAAGACCTGACATAAATGCTTCCCATATGCAGATATTGCTATTCCGTTATGACCTTAGAAAGAAATCAACTAGAGATTTACTTGTACTTCCAGATATGCAACTCTAAATTAGTACAGGCACATAGCAAGTTCTTCGAGCGCTTGAAAAAGTTCTTCAGCGTGCCTTCTCGCGAATAATTCAAGTTATGTTTCTCGAGTAATTTGTTAAGGATCTCGAGTAATTTGTAGAATTTCATATCAAGGATCATTTGAAAATGAATTTGTTAAAGCCTAAATCTAAATGGTTCAGTAATAAAACAGTGAGCAATTTTTACCTCCATTCTCCTGTAGTAAGCATAGAGATCCTCAACATAGTCTACAACTGCAAGCGGATTCTTCAAATCGCTGCCATCAATGTCCACAATCGGCTCTTCCACAATGTCCACCATTTCAACCTCCTCCTGTAAGATCAAATTTTAAACAAATCAGCAAATTGGGTTTTTCTAAAAAACAATTAAAAAACTCGACATGTTTTACAGAAAGAAAGAAAGAAAGAAAGAAAGAAAGATATACCGCATCGTTTGCTTCCTCCGGCACTGGTTCTGCTTGTTCTAAAAACATGGGCTCTGCATCCTCCGGCATTGCTTCTGCTTGCTCTTCAGGGGACTTGAATTCGTCATTTACGAATATACTAGTGCAATCTCCAAAACCAGTTGAGTTGGTGGCTGTAGCTGTTGTGTTTGGCACCTTGAAGATCTTAACTTCCTGCAGATATAAATTACACCAACCCAATCTATCAAATAAGGTAAAACAGATAAGAAAACTAAGAAATCAATCCTGGGGGCGGATAGCGGTACCTTGAAACAAGATTGCTGAGTGCTAATTTGTGCAGCAGACTTCCTGTAAAAAATGTAAATCAATATCAAATTTCATAACCCAACAATTCAAGTAAAATTTTAAAACATTAGAAGGATCACATTCAAACCTTGTGATTGGTCTGTGCGCTGGATCTGCCTGTTTCTTCTCATAAACTTCATGTGTTCTGAGATTAGAACATAAACACACAAAAAGCATTAGTAAACGAAAAATAAATTCAAGAAATCATGCCTGTGAAAGATGCAAAAATGCAAAATGCCAAAATTTACGAAAATTACTGCGAAAAGGGTCTCTTGTTAACAACACAAGGGTATGCTGGAGCTCCTAACAAACTCTGATTACTGACTCCAAAAGCCCTCCTGGTATGCCTAATCTGCTGCTGTCCACGCTTTCCGGCACATAGTCCTCCTTTATGTTAGTCGAAAACCGAAAAAAGTCAGAATCTTTGGAAAATTCTCACTCTCAAAATCTCAAAATCTAAATGCCCAGATTGCAAAAAAAATAACCCCATTTCAGTGATTCATTCACCTCGCATATTTGTGGGTCTGATCAGACTAGAACGGTTCTCATTAGAAACAGCCATTCTTTGAAGTGTATGATTCCTTAAGGAACAATCAATCAATCAATCAAATCAAACCCAATTTAGCAAAGAGGCTAAATTTCCTCCCTCCAAGAGAGCCTCTAGAGAGAGAAAGAGAACAGAGAGAGAGAGGGGGGGGGGATTGAAATCTCTGCAAAATACAGTGAGTTGTAGTAGAGAATCTAGAGATAAAGACAGAGCTACTTATAAAGGACAGAAATCAGTGGGTATTTGTCCCAATAGGATACCCTATTTTTCAAATAGAACGGCTAGTGCAGTCTGACCGTTGGATCATACGGATTGAGATGACTTTCTAGGTAATGCCCCTATAACAACGGTCACCTGGGTTGGCAATCGCATGTGGGCGTCGGCCTATGGCCCTATGACCCTATTGACCCTATGACCCTATGGCATTTCAAAATTAATCTGAATTTCATGTCTCAAAGTGAGAGCTTATTTTCAGTTCCAACAAAATAAAAAGTGAGAACTTATTCAAAATTTTTATGAATTTTATCCAATGATTGGGGGTTGGACTCCAAAAAACTATGCGCTCCTGCCCCATCGGAGCCTTCTTTTTTCTTTTTTCTTTTTGGAAATATTTAAACAACAGATTACGTGTTATTCAATATTACGGTTTAGTGATATTTCTCTTTACTTGGAAGTGAGAGGTCTTAGGTTCAAATCTCGTTGATGACGAATTCGATGTCAAATTAGATTGCTCATTGTGTGGTTTAGCCAAACTTTCCCTCCTCTTAGTATAAAAGTATCGATGTACTTAAAAAAAAACATATTACAATAATTGTCACCTAATTAGAATGATCGTATTTAGAAGATTACTAAATTTTGGATATTGTAGCATCTAACAAAATTTGTGTGTACCTTCTTGGGATGACCAAACTATTTCTAAGTTTAAATTTTAAACTAAAAGACTTCAATCTTGTTAGGGATTAGTATTGTATTTATTCACAAATTAGAATTCTTTTGCGTTGCTCGAATGTCTACTGGGCAAAAAAAATAATTATTGCCATTGTAACGTGATTGCTTTTCTATTATAAAACTTACGATGTTAAGCAGCTAATGAGAGTTTCTCTCGCGCCAAAGCGAGGGAGAGTTTGAAGAATCGCATGTAAGTTTGCAGCGCGAGAGGCTGTGATAAAATCTTGTAAAAGGATTAACAATAATTTCTAGGGAATTTTAACGAAAAGCACCCGGTACTGTTCACTTTAACGAAAAACCACATTTTTACACTAAAAAGTCAATCCTAGTACTATTCACTTTACCCTTTATTTTGTCCTTATCATTAAAACTCAAAGTTTTCAAGCCCTTTTCATTAGTTTTCCTTAATTTCTATTGCATTTATTTAAAAATTTGACATGATTGCCTAATTTTGGTAAACCAATTTTTTCTAGGAAGTGAGAACATGACCGACATCATTGCTGACACACGAGACCAATGCAAGGGGGGCTCTACTATTGTATATGAGATCTACTTGTATTAGAGAGTGTGTTAATACTAACGTTAGTTGTGTGTCTTACTCAAATAGAGCAACCCTTTTTAATACAATACAATACACCAAATTTAAAGTGATTGAAGGAATTGCGGGAGAAGGTATGGAGAAATTATCATATCAGCTTTTTGGTGGCACGTTAAATACTTTCCATTAATATGAAATCCAAGATAAAATAGGGAAATAGGAAACAAAAATAACATAATAGCGAAAGCGTTATAAATAGACTAGAATTAAAACAATATTAACAATCATGAAAGCGGAGATGGAGAGCATGAACTCATGGCCATGACATGAACAATCAAGTTGACTAGAACAATGTGTTTTCTACGTGTGCAACTAAGTTCCAATTTTACTTCCCGCATCCACTTATTACACTACAATTTAGTGATATTTATCTGTTCTTGTAAGTGAGAGATTTTAAGTTCGAATTTTGTAACTCGATTCTAATTTATTTTCACCCTTTAATGTAAATATTTTGTTGTATAAAAAACTCGATATAGTTTTTAGGTTAGTTTAATATAAATTAGTAAATAAAAAAAAAAGAAAAATCATTAACTTGCGTGGCACAACGTGAAAAAGTTAAATCACTGCAAAATAACCATACAAGTCGATATCCAAAGTTGAACACTTATTTCTCTACCTCTACTGTTACTCAATTTGCAAACATGAGATCCAGCCATTTGTAGTTTGTTATATTTCAAAAGTGAAACGAGTTTTAGACAACCCCCTTCTCTCCTGCAAACACATGTTCTTATTTGTCTATTGATTTTCCTATAATTCGTTCAATCTAATGGCAAAAAATTAACACGGCCGTGTAGGAGTAGAAAAAAGAGGTGTTGAATACCTAAAGCTAACCAAAATTGATAAAGGTTCACCCATAATCATTCAAAAGACGATCCTCGAACGAATTATTAAATATATATATATACAAACTTTGTCATACAAAATATTTCACAACGCTCCTTAACCAGCATAATTTTGTCATACCTAAGGCTAACCAAAACTGTTAGAACCGATAAATAAAAGGGAAAGGAGGGACAGGGAAGCAAAATGTTACAATGTGCAAAACCTGGGGTGTATCTGAGGACCTTTTAGGGATACACCTGCAGTGCAGAAAGCAAAGGAAGAATTATTCATGAAAACTGAGTGAGAGAGAGAGAGAGAGAGAGAGAGAGAGAGAGAGGAAGAAGGCACAGTAAACATACATGTCATTTTTGTTAGTTTACGACAATAATTTCACTTGAAGAGACTAGATAGTCGACGGAGACCGGATATTGGCTTTTCTGCTACTTGTTTGTGTTTCCGAATCTCCTCAACCCCACTGCTGGAATGACTAAATAGTGGAGGTGGACTGCTTCTCTCCTCATCTGTTTCTTGTCTGAGTTCTGTAATCTTCTCACGGATCACTTTCCTTGTTACAGGATACCTTCTCTGCTCTAACATATTTTCCACATTAATAGTCTCCTCCTGACTTGAAATACGCTTCTTAATATTCTTCTTCTGCTTATTCTGGAACTTCTCATTCTTATCATTCCCACAAAGCTCTCGCTTTTTCTCAATCACCTCTTCCGGTAACTGACGTTTTTTCTTCTCTAATATATTTCCCAGAACTGAAATCAACTCCTTCTGGGGTAATTCAGCTGTTTCAACAACCTCTTGATTATCGATAGCAATATCTGGATCCAAAGCTTCTTTCACCTTATGTTTCTTGGACAAATCTTCTTTTAGTTCAGGGGTATCAGTTGTACGGCCACGTTTTCTATCCTTAGTGAAATTTTTGTCAATGCTCTCCCGCTGCAGGCGGTAGTTGTCCTCATTCTCCTGAACAACTTCCTTCCCTCTCAAAATCCCACTGTCCATGGTTTCTAGAATAACTTTTCCTAAAACAAACCTAATCTCACGCATATGACCTTTCCCAAGTGAGTGGCAATCAATCTCAAAATTCTTCCTTCCTTGATTGTAATATTCGATGTCATTGGCCAGCACTTCAACAATTGCAGCAACATGTTTAGCCATATTCTTTGATAAAAATGCCTGAAAGAATCACACATATGAAACAACATATAAGTACTCCAACCAAAGAAAAATTTTATACAAGCACACCAACAAATATTTTAGAAGAACTGCTACAAGGGCTACCACCACACCAGGGATGGCATTTTACAGTAACAGCAAATAGTAGGCATGATACAGTAGAACTGTAAAAGGTAACACTTAGTCTTTAATCCGAGGATTTATGACATACTCCAGTGATACAAAATCAAGGCATGATACGGTAAAACTGTAAAAGGTAACAAAAGTTCAGATAAAAATTCTGCGATGTGGTTGAATATTAATACCAAGTTCTATAACAACAGCATTTAATGATCGGATGAGAAGAATGCAGACAAGTGGCGAGAGATACATCAAGTTCCAGCTCAGGAATCGAATATCAATAAGACGTACTTACCAACCCAGAGAATGGAAAAACAGGATATCTGGACATTGATTCATCAGGATCTTTTGTTGCAGTTAAAGCAGCAATATAATCTAGCACACAAGAAGCTAACTGGGAAACTTGTTTTGCAAGTTCTTCATCTGATTTAAATTCACATGAGCCTGAGATCTCAGGTACATAGTTAACTATCGATGCAGCATTGTCCCTGGAAAATTTAACACCTTCTTCCCATTCTTCATGATACAGTACGGAAGCAAAAGTCAACACAACAAGAGCATCTTGTGGGTTGTTGACTAGTGCCAGGTGAAAAGCCAACAATCCGACCCTGTGATAAAGACAATTAATCAGCAGTGACATCTGCATTACATATAGAAACCCAACCGTGGTATAAAAACTGAAATCCCACTGTGATTAGACGTAAGGCACAGGGCACAGCTAGCATAGGCTCATTGTCATATAAATTGGTTAAAAAAATATTTCAACTAGTGCCCAGGACCAAGTTTGTATAAATAAATGAAATTCCATGATGCATTGGATATTATAATCTAACAGAGACAATAAACAATTTATCTCACCATAAAGAGCAGTGACCAGGCCGATCACAGCTAACCACTTTATCCATATTTGAGAATAGTTTCTGTTGAAAAAGAAAGAAAAATCAAAATCTACCTAAATTGCTGGGTTGGGCATAAATTAATTGGGCTCCACGTGAAATGAAAAAGAGTCATAAACTAGAGACCTACATTTCGAGTAATAGAAAAACAAATACCACAAGCACACACAGAACTACTGTGGAAGAAGAATTAGAAAACTCTTACCAGCTCTTGTTCCATACATTCTATACAGGAGACGTGATAAAAGTTCTAACATTACTAACATATTAAAAAAAAAAATTCAAACTTGCATTTGAGAAAACTGAGATCATTCTAGATTATATATTAAAGAATCCAACTTAGAAGTTTCTCTGTAATTGATTCCTCTTCAAAGTCTTGCAAAGTTAATGAACCAAACCACACTCGATTTGGGATGCAGAGAGATCCTTCTGTAGTTTTCAATGCATTGCTTTTTATAAATCCTATAATTTTTTTTTCTTGCACAATCTCCTAAGTTTCAACTCCGCCTATGTCTTACATGGCCGGTCCCAAGCCCGGATAAAGGAGGAGGGGGAGGGCGTCAGGTAGTCGACAGCCGGCACTCCATGATCACGT